ATCTTATAGGACTCTCCCCTACCCATGTATGTAGGATCCCAAAGGATCACCATTAAATTTGGTACGGATATATAGAAAAGTCAAGTCCTACACTCATGTGATAACTTTTCTAGAGATCTCTGCCAACTTTAATGGTGATCCTTAGGGGTCCTATACACATGGGTGGGGGAGGGTCCTATGTGATCGTCACTCATATTAAATACAAGCCATAAATATAAAGAGTAATGATCCTATGAGATCCTCCCACATCGATGTGTGTAGGACCCCGAATGATCACCATTAAATTTGGCACAGATCTTTAAAAAAGTTATTACATGGTTGTGAGACTTGACTTTTTTAGAAATCTACGCCAAATTTAATGGTGATCCTTGGGGTCTTGCGCATATAGGTATGGGGGGGTCTCATAGGATCATTACTCAAACATAAAATATGAGTAATGATCCTATGAGACCCTCCAACACCCATGTGTGTAGGAACTCAAAGGATCACTATTAAATTTGATACAGATATCTAGAAAAATAATCACATGGGTGTAAGACTTGAGTTTTCTAGAGATCTGTGCCAAATTTAATGGTGATCATTTGGGGTCCTACACACATGGGTGTGAGAGGGTCTCACAGAGTCATTTCCCATAAAATATTAGGACATTTTTAAAGGAAAAAATGTACATAAGGCATCAACTTTATATTATAGAAGTAAGGCCCACCTCAAATCCATTACAAAAGGTTGTTGTACTGCCCAAAAACCGTTCAATTATTCATCTCAACCGCATGAATATGAAAAAAATTGATTTGAAGTCCTAAAAATGGTAACATATATTATCTAAACCATCAATTTCCAAGATTTTTAAATGTTTACAAATCTGCTTGATCAAATTTAATAATTAGGGATAGATATAGATTTCCAAAGAGTTGAAGGGATTTTTGGTACCAAAACTACATTTTCTCATTGTATAGGTTTAACACCTTATTTAATCCATAATTATATCTATCAGATTGAACGATAGTCCATCTTGTTCGACGATGAATGGGTACCTTGGCCAGTCTATTCCAAAGTCAAAACTGGGTTTGGTACAAAAAAACGGTCAAATTCAATATTTGATTATGCGTTTGTCAATTTTTTACTATCAAACCAACCAACTCTTTATCAAAAAAAAAAACAAAAAGTAATATCTCGGTCAAACTTAGTTGAAAATGTCAATCGTATGCAGATTAAGCATCGTGGGGGATTGAATTCGGCAGAAATTGATTGAAACTCAGGAGAAATTAGGCCCAAGTCAACATTTGTCTGGTAATTTTAGGCAGGCTTTTTTATTGAAATTATTCACTTGAAATTCGACGAATCTGGACAAAATTCACCAAAAATCCAGGCAGAAGGATTTTCTTTACCATTTTTATTGAAATTATTCACTTGAAATTCGATGAATCTAAACGAAATCCACCAAAAATCTGGGACGATATTATTTGGACGAATTTTCAATATTTTAAAAAAAACTGTGATACAAACAGGTATTGCGTATACTTTTAAATTTTAAAATTAAAAATTCTAAAGCAAAACAACGGTATGATACTTAAATATTTAAAATTTTTAAGTTTTAAACGAAGTTTGTTAGGTTGTTAAGTTCTTTTAATGAAGTTTTAAATTTAAAAAGAGATTATTTTTTGGGTGCGGTTTGTTTACAGCTGAAACAATCAAATTAGAGCCCACCTTCAAATAGTGTCAAGAAATATGGTATCAATACTGGAAAGTTTTTTGATAGCCTTAAATTATATTTTCATCTTTAGTTATATTTAAAGCTTAAAAAATAGAGCAATGATTTCATGCAACCGTTGTATAGTAATATGATGCAACGACCTTAAAAAACCATCTTATGACCGTTTGTTTGATCCAAATTTTGAAATATACATTATTTTCATTCTAATGAATAATAAAAAAAGAAGAAAAAATTGAAAACACAACCTAGAAAATATTTTTTTAGCCCAATTAACAAAGGCCGTTCATTTTAGTGAGATGCTTAGATTTAGGCCTTAGAAGGATTTTTTCATTTTCAAATTTTTTGGATGGCTTTATTATCATTAGATAAACAATGTTAAAAAAGAAAAAATGATTTTGAGTTTATAAAGACTAAGATCTTGAAATTCACAAAATGAATGGTCTAGATTCGTTTTAGGAGAGGACTTATTTTGACCATATCTATGGTTCAAATTGAACGTTTTTTTTTTAGATTGATTATTGAGATGAAAAAAATGTGTGTGCAAAATTTGGGGTCATACAAATACCACAAACATAGTTTTCTATAAGTGTTGTTGCATTTTACTATGATACAACCACTGCATTGGATCACTGCTCTAAAAAATAATGTAGATCAAGCAGATCTATGAAAACTTGAGAACCTTGAAAATTGACGGTCTAAAAATGAGTTACAAGATGCACTATTTTCAAAACTTGAAATCCATTTTTTTGTCATTTCCATGCATCTTGATGGCGACCTAATCAATTTGATGATATTTGGGATTCAAAACAACCTCTTTTAGTGAAAGTTTTGAGGTAGGCTCTAAACATGATTGTTTAGAGTAGGCTCTAATAAACTTTTCATATATTTTTTTGCACTTCAATTGTTTAATTAACGAGAAGTTCAACCTGGCCACTCCATCCCTAAAAAAATTGGGGCTTGGGCCACAAATTGTCTTCCGAGGCCTGATTTGCTTGGCCATGCCCTCTTTTTTCCTTGTTTTTCTTTAGTTTTTCTCATTTTTTGGAACGGTTCAGTCGGGATGAGGGCTGGCCCAACCCGTTGCCACCCTTACTCCATAAATTTATCGAAAATTTTGTACAAACCCCTAATTCCCCATCGTATTTCACTTTAGACTTTCCTATTTTTCTTTCAAACTGCATAAAAAAACCCTCAAGTATTTCACTGTTCCCCTCTCCAACGTTTATTCACTTTTGCCTACAAAAACTAGCTTCAACAAATTGTTTTATTTCATCTTAATCCAAAAGTTTTTTTAAAAAGTGTAAAATAGGGTTAAAAAAGCTTTTGGATTGAGATATAACAAAATATTTTATTGTAATTAGTTTTTATGGCTAAAAGTGAAAAAACGTGAGACAGACGAGATGAGGGATATGGTGAAATACATGAGTTTTTTTTATACCGCTTGAAAAAAAATAGAAAGAGAATATAATGTAAAATAAGATAAAAAATTAAAAATCCGTACAAAATTTGCCTCAAATATATACTTTATCCATAATGACAATCTCTATCTCTCTGATTTGTTTTGATTTTATTCATGTGATATTTTACACATTTTTCCAACTTTTGCGCCGAAAGCAAATGGTTGAGCTATTCTTTTACCATTTTTTAAATTTAAAAAAATTGTTATTATTATTTTATTTTTAAAAGTTTTTAAAGACCAGCTCGTAGCAGCGGTGCAAGCCACGAGTGGGACTGTCCATTGAAGAGAGAATATTCTCTCACCGCGTGAATCGGCGATCTGACCCGAAAAAACTCGGCGATCTTTGAACTACTTTTAGAATACCAAAAATAGCTATTTTAATTTCAAAGCTACAAGTCCTCTCAAATGACCATCAGGTAGAACGAGCGTTTACAAAAATCGACCCCGAACGGTTAATCAGATATAAAGCCGGAAACGGTTTAACCAGCCTAGCCGGTAAACCGACTGGTTCAACCGTTCTAATTGGGCATGTCTTAGGCAGTCAAAAAATTGTTAAAAAAACATAAAAAAGGTGAAAAAATATATATGCTAGAATATAAAAAGCATATAAATAATGATTTAAACAAAACATATTTAAATGAAGTTGAAAATTAATTAAAAATATATTTTTTAAAAGTGAGTATTAATGACCAAAATAATATTTAATATCTACTATAATATAAAAATATTAAAAAATATATTACAAATCAAATTCCTTAATTTTAAGATTATATATATATATATATATATATATATATTTTAAAATACCGACCGATCACCAAAACTGCTTGAAACCGGAATTGGGAAGGGGTCGGTTTTGATCTAACCGGATGGTTACTGGTTTTTCTAACAATGAGTGAAACCTTATTTTCTTTTATTTTTTATTATTTTTAGTAGGTATGATGGATTGAAGCAAACAATGTCTAATTAACTTAAACTTGGCTTCGAATTGGTCATGACGAGTATATAAAATGGTAAAATATCCTAAAAGTTGAACACTATAATGGGGGAATATGACCACAAATGACAACTTGTGAAATGGAGGGAGGAAAATTGAATAAAATAGAAAACGAATATAGTAAGCTGCATGTCCCAAAAACAAAGATTTTTTCTTTTGGCATTTGAGAGGACCTTTGGCCCATTTAACATGGAATTAGAGACATCTCAACAACCCCTGAAGCCCCTCAGGGGTAATTCAAGCAAAGCATTAAACCTTACCTATTATTTTTTTAAAAAGAAAAAAGTATACAAAGAGATCACAATCATTCTTGTCTATTAAATTTTAAATAAAGTGGTTGTAAATGTATCAGTGACTAGACTCAATTAAAAAAAAAAAAGATTTTGGAATTTCATAACACACTTCAAGCTATCCAATTTAGCACATAAACGACTAGGAGTAGTTGTGACCTCATTATAACAATAGTAAATGGTCTCGTAGTATACAATCCTATTACAAAAATGCTTATGAATATTTAGTTTTTTAATCCTGAACAAGAGGAAATTTGAGCATTTTAAAACAACTTTTAAATAAGATATTTGAATAAAATGAAAATTAAAACTGAACTTTCAATTCTTAATTGAGTGCTTGATGATTTTGTAAGGATTATAACCCCCAATGATAATTTTTCCCTTTTCCAAAAAAATAAAATAAAAGGGTGTGATGGATAATTCATTTCACTCAAGGGCATTTTGCAGTCCAATTTTTTCTACTACTGCTTTAGTCCACCGAAATTGGCGGCATACAAAGTGTGAAGTGGCCGATTATTTCGCCGAATTAATCCCCAGCAATCAGGTTATCGAACTCCTTCTGTCAAGCTTCATGATATGATAACGCAGTCCACTGACGTTGAAAGGCACTTTCTCTCTCTAAGATGTCACTTTCTCTCTCTAACATTACCCTACAAACATGTCATTCCCACGCCATCCAATATCATATCTCCACGAAAGAAACTGCCCTCTTAAATTCTTCGTTTCGAGTCATAACTTCTAAGTTTTAACCAGCTGAATTCTGCTTATGAATAGTTTCTCTCTCTGCATTTAGCTGCATTGTATTGGTTCTGGATTTAAAATTTTATATTTTTCTTGAAACCCAACTCTCTATCTCTCTCTTGGCTTTTTTTTTTTTGGTTTTGGCTTATTTTTTTCTCTTGTTTGGTTTTGTTCTTTTCTTTTCTGTGTAGCTTTGTTTTATGCTCTGTATTGCAAGTTGAAGAACTAAAGCCTGTTTTAGCAAGCTCCTGCATTTCGTTTTTGTGGACTTGTTTGGAGTTTAATTTGGTTTTATTGGGTCCCTTTTCAGTTACTGGTTTTGTTCTTTTTTTCTCAGTCTAGTTTCATTTGGATTTGAATTAGTTCTGAGTTCTGAGGCTAAAGTGAAGAACTTATAAAAACTTGCATTTTCTTTTTTTTCCTGGGATTTTTCTTCTTTTTTGTTGCGTTTGATTTTGATGTTGGGTTCTGAATCAAGTTATATCCTCTTCTCTAAAACCCCCAGTCTATTATCTGTTCATTTTGAGCTGTTTCTTCCCATTTCAGTTGTTACCACCTCTCTCTTCTCTTTGATTTTGTTTAACAATTGGGTACCGAATTCTCTAGTTCGAATCCACCATGGCCACATTAGAAGATATTGGGGTCTCTGCCTTAATTAACATCCTCAGTGCCTTCGCCTTCCTTCTTGCCTTTGCAGTTCTTAGGATTCAGCCAGTAAATGACAGGGTTTACTTCTCAAAATGGTATCTTAGTGGAAGTAGGAGGAGTCCAAGGCACTCTGGTAACACCATTGGAAAGTTTGTGAATCTCAATTTCTGGACTTACTTGGGTTTTCTTAACTGGATGCCTGGGGCTCTCAAGATGAGTCAGAGTAAACTTATTGAGCATGCTGGGCTTGACTCTGCTGTTTATCTCAGAATTTACCTTCTTGGGTAAGCATACTTACTCTGTTTTTATGGTTTCCATCTTTATTAAAGAGTTTGGGGAAGTTCTTGGTCACTGAGTTGTTTTAAATGAATTCAATTTTTAGTGATGTTTTCGGATTACCTATCCCAAAATATTGTATCTGGATTTTCTTATTGATATGGATATCTGTCAATGGGGGTGATTTTGATTCAACTTGTTAAGTTTTAATTGCAGATAGTTCTGATCAGTAAAAGATTGAATTCAGTTTTCCTGTTATGACAAATATTCATAACTAGTAAAATGCTCTAGTCTAGATAACCTGGATAGCATTTGTGTTTCCATTCTGCAAATTGTGTAAAATTCTGTTCTACGAATTGTAAAAACTTTGAGGTTGAAATTTCCTAGATTATGATCTTATGCGGAGGTCACGTTTTGAAATTTAACAGTTGAAATTGTTCACCTTTTGATTTGCATCTACTATCATGTTTCCCTTGCTTGGGAATGCATGTAGAAATATCGTTGTGCTTTCTACGTCCTTCCTCCAGATGTGCTTGTGGTTCTAAATTTCTAAGACTTGCCTCTGTCCATTTGCAGCTTGAAAATCTTTGCGCCAATGACAATTCTTTCAATCTTGATCCTTGTTCCGGTCAATGTATCAAGCTCCACGTTGAATTTCCTTAAGAGAGAACTAGTGGTTAGTGACATTGATAGGATTTCAATATCAAATGTCAGTCCTGGCTCCCAAAGGTGAGTGTGTATTTCTCTTTTAACTCTCAACAAATTTTTATGTAATTAAAAACCTTATGAGAATAAATAAATGCAAAATCAGGTCTAACAATCTTATACATCTCTATGGCTACATGTGATGTCTTGCTAAAAAAGGCACATATATGTCCTGGACTAAGGAGTCTAATGATTCCCGGGGATCTTAATACCCTTTAGTATTTTTGTCATTTTTCTATTTTTCGGGTCCTTTCCAAAGTTTTAGGAAAAATTCTCTTTGGGTCAACCCACTATCTCAAATCATTTTATCAACGTCCAACTAATGATCAGTAGTTTTGCAAGGATATTGTGTTTTAATTAGATAAGCTCTGTTCTGTTGTAGGTTCTGGTTCCATCTTTCATTAGCATATCTCTATACCTTATGGACTTGTTATATGCTCTACAAGGAATATAATACCATCGCTTTCATGAGACTTCATTATCTGGCATCACAACATCGACGTGTGGACCAGTTCACCGTAAGCACCATTCCAAACATTGTTTACACTTTATTGATTCTATTGAAAGGAAAGCTCCAATTCAGCAAGTAATTGGACCAAAGTATTGTTGCTCTTATTGCCTTTGATACTACTAGACTCAAGCTTTCCTTGCGGTGGTGTTGTTTCTTCGTCTTCTAGGGAATGTGTACCATGGTCCAATGGCCAGTGGTATGTGGTACTCCAATGCTACATACACCATCTATTGCCACTGATGGACATTTGGAGATTGACTTTAGAAATTTTATCCAGGATCAATTTTTTGAATCTGACTCCATACTATGTACTAAGAATTTGCATTGAATTATTCTCTCAATACGTTTTTGCAGGTATCTGTCAAGAATATCCCAATTGCTTCGGGCCACACCATATCAGAAACTGTGGATCACTTTTTTCGGACTAATCACCCTAATCATTACATAGGGCACCAGGTGGGACCTAATTTTAAATTTTCTTAAAAGTGAAATTTTCCAAATTTTATGTTGCATGAGCAAGTTTTTTATGTTGTGAGAAATGTGAATCTTAAATATATCCCAGAGGACATTTTATGGCAAAAGATGGGTTATAGGTGATATCATATATTACTTCTGTACATCATGAGGCACCACAGTTGGCAGTTATTTTATTTCTGGGGTTAGTGCTGGAGTTCCTTACAAATGCATCGATTAATTATCAGGTGGTTTACAATGGCAACAAATTTGCGAGGCTTGTAAGGAAAAAGGAGAGGCTCCGAAATTGGTTAGACTATTACCAGCTTAAGTATGAACGACATCCTGAGAAGAAGAGACCAACTACAAGGGTGGGCCCCCTCCTTAACTTCTTTCCAAGTTCAATGATTGTTGCATTGCATTTTCATACTATACTCTATCTCAGAGAATAATTTACCTAAAAAATGGCAAGGGCTGTGTTTCTGGAATACATAATGATGGCATTAAACATTTTTGTTCCAGAGAGGTTTTTTTGGCCTTTGTGGTGAAAGAGTGGACTCCATCGACTATTATACTCAGAGGATCAATGTGCTCGAGAAGAGAGTGAGTTGTCTTTCCCGGATGATAATCATTTTGGGCCTCAAGCAGCCTGTTTTACTGTAGCTGAGAGCAGCCTGTTACTTACAGTAGCTTAAATGATGGAAAATTTATGCTAATTTTGTAAATTTCTTAATCTTTGTTTGTTTTTTCATTGTTCTATGTGGTGCAAATAGTTCTCTTCTGATTCTTCTGTTTACATTTTCAGATACAATCAGAAAGGCAAAAGATCCTAAATGACTCAAAGGGTGCTTTGCCTGTAGCTTTCGTTTCCTTTGATTCAAGATGGGGTGCTGCAGTGTGTGCCCAGACCCAACAAAGCAAGAACCCTACTCTCTGGTTAACTGATTGGGCCCCTGAACCACGTGATGTCTATTGGCAAAATCTGGCTATCCCCTTTGTTTCCCTTACCATCCGAAGGCTTATAATAACTGTTTCGGTGTTTCTTTTGGTGTTCTTCTACATGATACCCATTGCTTTTGTTCAGTCTCTTGCCAATCTTGAGGGCCTTGAGAGAGTTGCTCCTTTCCTTAGAACAGTGATTGAACTGTTAAGTATCTGTGATTTTCAAGAGACTGAATTTGATGATAACATTGAGATCACATCTGACATTTCCTTTTAATATTTTTTGGATTGACCCATTAATACCAAAATTGACTTTGGCTTTGAAAATTTTGACATGCAGGAAGTTTATCAAATCATTCCTTCAGGGCTTTCTTCCTGGTTTGACTTTAAAAGTTTTCCTATATTTTCTTCCTGCTCTTCTGATGGTTATGTCAAAAGTCGAAGGTCATTTATCTTTGTCAAAGCTTGAGAGAAAGACTGCTGAAAAGTATTACTATTTCATGTTGGTAAATGTCTTCTTGGGAAGTATTGTAACGGGTACAGCTTTTGAGCAGCTTCATTCATTCCTACATCAATCTCCTACCCAGTACTGTACTCTAATCCCTCCTATTCTTAATTACGTTGATCATTATCTTGGATAAGGTGTCTAATTGATACGATCATAATCTAATTTTCATAAAAATATTCTATTATGAAAATTTTCATGGTATATGTACCAATTTTTCACAAATTTTCTGCACATTAAAAATAGAAACTTAGGCAGGCTGCACATTACCTTCTTAGTCATACATCTTTTGTATTTCTTTTGTTTAATCATATTATAATGGTTGAGAAATCTCTGTTATTTTAAATTTTGTGTTAGCTACTGTAACAAGATTAAAACTGTCTAACTCATAAATATCAAATCTATTGCACATATTTTGAGGTGATCCTCTCAATTCTTGACAGATTTTTAGTTGTGTAGTTGTGATCTTGTGTTATCTGATGTTGTGGAAATATGACAAACATGGTGTTGATTTAATGTGGTATGAAGATTCAAATGAAGAAACTGAATTGAGACTCGAACTTAAAGTAATTGTATTTTGGATTATGTATGAAGTTAATGGTGACCGGTAAAGGCTGTCCAAGTAATGACCTGAGGCAAAGGCCTTCCAAGTAATGACAGGAGATCAAATACCAACGAGAAGTATTGGATAAGAGTAAATACCAATGTGATATTTTGATTTATGCACCTCCCACAAAAGTTATATCATTGGGGATCAGTGGGAAATGGATTGCACATTGTCAAGAATTTGAGGTATGAGTTAGAAAAAAAAGAGAGACCATTTTCTTCATGGTTGAACACTCTTAACCAGAATTTCCTTAGTAGTAACTGATGTCACTGCTTTTGTTTACTATAATGGCTCCGTTCATGTTATTTTTTCCTACCTGTCATGTATGAGTTTGTTGATTAATCTCTATTGGAACAGCTACCTCGATCTGACATAAATGACTTGCATAGTTAAACATGGGAACAGGAATTATTCTCACTGTTCCTACATCTCGTCTTATTGTATTATTAGTTTAATTGGTGTTCATGTATTTCAATTCTTCTAACTTATTGGACCAAAATGAGGAACCCAACATAGATTTCTGATCATTACAGGATTCCAAGAACTATCGGAGTATCGATTCCAATGAAAGCTACATTCTTTGTCACATATATAATGGTTGATGGTTGGGCTGGTATTGCTGGTGAGATTCTTCGTTTGAAGCCATTGGTTATATTCCATCTAAAGAACATGTTCTTGGTGAAAACTGAAAGAGACAGAGAAAATGCAATGGATCCAGGAAGCATTGAACTTTCTAATTCTCTTCCAACCCTTCAACTATACTTTCTACTTGGGCTTGTTTATGCTGTGGTCACTCCAATTCTTCTTCCTTTCATACTGGTTTTCTTTGGCTTCGCATACCTTGTTTACCGTCATCAGGTTATTACTATATCAAATTTTTGTTTCTTGGTTAAAGTTTATAAAGAAGGGGAAAAAGACATATACCCCCTATGTATTTCTACTATCCCAAATAAACCCTCAGGTCTATGGAAAGCCTATGGACCCCCTCCAAGTTAGAAAAAAGGACATTCAAGTCCCTCTGAACCTTTTTCATTGTTCAAATTTCAACATTTATTCTTTTTATATTTGCTAGAAAAGCTCCTCCTCTTTCTCCCTCTTCCTCCCCCATGAACTCATTCCCCCCCTTGTGGAAACCCCATCTCTCACTCTCTCTTCGTGTGAACCTTACAAGTAGGTTAAAAGAGGCATATCAATTTTTATTTACATGATGGGGTTATTAGAAAAAAGAAAAACGATAAATGTTGTAATCTAGACAATGAAAAAGGTTTGGAAGGGGTTAAACTCCCTTTCCTTTTAACTTGGAGGGGCCTATGGGTTTTCCATGGATCTGAGGATTTATTTGATATTACAATTATAGAGACAGGTTATTCATCTTTTTCCCTATATAGAAATTCATATGCTTTCTACATGTGAATTAACTTTTGAAAGTTAGGCTTTAATACCTGCACAAGTCATGCAGGTAATCTAAAATCTGAGCCTAGTGCCTGAATTAGTGACCCTTTTCTTTATCAGTATATGATTATATTTATCCTGGTCCTGTATTTGAAGACAAAACAACCATGACATTTTAGTACAAAGCATCAAATGCAGGAATCACATCAAATTAAATATCCATGTTTGAGTTGTTTCAAATACCTGGACCTGGGGTGAAATGGTCATGTCGGAAACACTGTCTAGGTCGCTTTCAATATTGAAAATTATATTCAGGCACTACTTTGAAATTCCAAGTTTATGGAGCACTTTCAGATGTTCCAAGGACCATCTGATATATCCATTGGAAATAAAATTTTTGGCATACTATGTAATCAACTTGATAGACACATAAAACTTTTCATTGAGTAACCAAAATTTTATTAATCTAGAAAATGGTACAATGGAAACAGGCCCATAATTATTCCATGATTCCTTATTAGGCTACAATTTCAACATTTTTTCATTTTCTTGCTTCCCTTTGCTTTTTTATCAAGTATTTTTGCTGATTTGTCTTTTTTTCATGTCAGATTATCAATGTTTATAACCAAGAATATGAAAGTGTTGCTGCATTTTGGCCACACGTCCATGGTCGCATCATTGCGAGCTTGTTGATCTCTCAATTTCTTCTACTTGGTTTACTCAGCACCAAGAAAGCAGCTGATTCCACTCCTCTGCTTATTGTTCTACCAGTATTGACAATATGGTTCCACAAGTATTGTAAAAGTCGTTTCGAGCCTGCATTCAGGAAATACCCATTAGAGGTAACTCAACAACTTTTAGTATATGTCACTTTTCTAACAATAAATTATTATATGTTGCAGATGTAATTGTTTCTGTTTAAAACTCGTGAATCTATTATGATAGATCATATAGAATTTTTAGATCATTATCGTGGTAAGAAATTATCTGTCTTGGTAAGAAATGTCTTCTCTATTCAAACTTAAGTTTGGTAAGTCTTAGAATATGGACTCCCAACTATCATATTGCTTATGTATATCATTTCCTTAGGTAGAAATATGTTATTTAGTGAGATTTACATGTCTATCATTGACTAAATTGTCTCCATAATCACACCTATGGATTATATATAGATGCTCCATGCTTTTCCCCTAACTAAGATAACCAAGTTCAGAAAGGAGAGCATTGCTCATACAAGGTATACTTGAACGAGGCAAAGCACTTGAATAAGTGAGTTACTGCAATTAGGGGTGACAATGGACTGGGCAGCCAGGTGCCCGGCTAGGCATGGGCCAGGACCAGCATATGTGGTCTGTAGGACACGGCCTGGGACAGGGCTTGACAGGCAGGTCCGGGAAATTCTTGACGCAGCCCAGCCAAATCTCATGGATGGGCTTAAGTCGGGCTCATCCTATTGTCAACTCAACTGTCCATTTCCCTGGGTATTTTCATACTTGAAGTTCTTTTGGTGTAGACAATAAAAACAAACATAAATTTCCAAATACTTCATCACAAATAAGTAAAGGAAAAAGTATACAAAGAGATCATTTACTTTTAATACAAGAAGGTCATCAACACTATTGTCCGTAAGATTTCAAAATGGGTGATTGTGACACTGTCATTTACTAGACTCAAGGTTTTAAAAAAAAATTTCTTGAACTTCATGGCACATTCCGAGCCATTAATCTGACATCTAATGACCAAGAGTAATTATGATCTCCTTGTAACAAAGAAAAAGACAACGTATCATCTACGTATCTTATAGTAGGACCAAACAGAGGCACATGATCCATAACTCATGATTTGTGTGCTCTGCTGAAATTAAACAATCCTCTCTCTCTCTCTCT